CAGCCCCCTGCCTCTCGTGTCGTGGAGGAAGGATGGGGAGCCCTTGTTGCCCCAGAGCCTTGAGCAGGGGCCTGGCCTGCAGCTGGAGAGAGTGGGAGCTAGTGACTCGGGGGCCTACTCCTGCGTGGCCGTGAACGAGGCGGGGGAGGCGAGGCGGCACTTCCAGCTGAGCGTGATGGGTGGGTCCTCTGTCCTTGGTGTGGCTTCTCTGTGCTGGGGAGAGAGTGGGACTCTGGGAGGATGGAGGAGGCACTGGGGGAGGTGAATCCCTCCGGAGGTTTGGGGCTGCTGCCTGGGAGCAAGACTCAGGGAACGAGCTTGGGTCCGGATGGGACGCCTCGTTGGTCTTGCTGATGGGGTGATAGGGACTGGGTTGAAGTTTGATTCTCCTGGGACTGTGTTCCTCCATCTCATCCACTAAACCTTAGTGACAGAAGCAAGAACAAGAGCCACCAAAATCTGGAGGCAGAGCCCTAAAACTCAGCACAGAATTTTGCAAGTGTTGTGCTATAGTGGAAAAATTTGTGTCAATTCTCTTTCCTCCATACTGTGTCCTTGTTGGTTTGAAAGCACAAATACTTGTCCCAGGGAGATGCGCCCATGGTTTCTGATGTTTCCAGGACCCTCCAACACCACCCCCTCCCCATGCCTCTATTTTTGGCCCCATCTGCTGTCAGCATCTGGATGGGGAGAGAACCCCAGCCGCCAGCACTCTGGGCCATGGCTGACCCCGGGTGGGGTGTCTTGCAGATCCCCCCCACATCGAGGACTCAGGCCAGCCTGTGGAGCTGTTGCTGACCCCCGGTGCCCCCATGGAGCTCCTCTGTGATGCCCGGGGCACTCCCCAGCCCAACATCACCTGGCATAAGGATGGGCAGGCCCTGAGCAGGCCGGAGGACCATGGCAGAGCCGGGCGGGTGCTCCGGGTGGAGGGTGTGCAGGTGCTGGTGACCCCGCTGCGGGAGGGGGCTGGGGGAGGAGGAGGGAGAGGCTGCCCTTGGCAAGGTTTGGCCGAGTTCCTCCTTTGTGTGGGCTGTGAGGGTGGAGATGACCCCCCTTCTGGGCCATGCCCCTCAGGAGCCACCAGCCGGTCAGAGGCAGGGTTGCTGCAAAAACCGGATAGCTCCCCATCTAGGCCAGAGAGGGCTGGTGCAGTCAAAGGGAACTTCTGGGAAGAGGCAGGCCTGGCACTAGGCTAAAGCAAGAGTGGAATGGAGGTAGAAAAGAATTCCAGAGAAAGTCGTGGGCTGGCTGGGAAGGTGGATGGCAGCCCCAGCAGGCCTGAGTGGACTCTGGGTCCTTAGCTGCACACAAAGGGGACCAGAACAGGAGGTGGGCAGGCTGGGCCAGAGGCAGCTGCTCACCCCACCCTGTCCCTAGGTGGGCGATTCTGGGCTGTACACTTGCCTGGCTGAGAGCCCTGCAGGTGAAGTCGAGAAGAGCTTCTGGGTCAGGGTTCAAGGTAGGGGTGTGGGGGCGGGGATGGGAGGCAGGATGGGGGCCTGCCGGGGCGGGTCCATCTCTCATGTCGTCTTGCGTTCCCCAGGCCCCCCAAATGTTGTCGGGCCCCAAGGCCCCCGCTCCGTGGTTGGCCTGGCCCCAGGGCAGCTGGTCCTGGAGTGCTCGGTAGAGGCAGAGCCAGCGCCTGAGATCGAGTGGCACCGAGACGGCATCCTGCTGCAGGTGGGCATCAGGCTGGGGACTTGGGGCACTGCCTTCTGTCTCTCTCAGGCCCCAGACCCTGAGCAGACTGGATCCTGGGTGCTGAGGGCCCCCTCTGAGCAGCACGTTGTATGCCTGCTCCCCAGACGTCCTCCACTTCTATTAGTCATTCCCATCATGAATGGGGACACTGGGGCAAGGCTGGGCCTTCCACCTAGGGCTTTTAAGAATCACTCCAGTGTTCCTCCCATGGAACCTATGAGCAACTCTTAGTGGCTGTGTGACATGGGGCCAGTGCTGAGGCTCTCTGTGCTCATCCCTTAATTGGGGCCACTTTGCTGCTGTGGACTCAAGGACTGTAGGTCTTCTGGTGGGAGCTCCAGGGACAGGGTGCTTGCTCCCTCCCAGAGGATCCCCTTTCCTCAGAGGGTCCTCAGCTGGGCACTGAGTCAGGGCCAGCAGCCAGCATGGAATGGGGCCGAGGTCACTGTCCAGCCTCACTGGTTCCCTGGCCCCATTGCCTGGATCCTGGCATTGGCCTGGACCAGCCCCGCACTGATGAGGGTCTCTCCACCCTGGCGGGGCCCTCCAGGCAGATGCCCACACACAGTTCCCGGAGCAGGGCAGGTTCCTCCAGCTGCAGGCGCTGAGCACGGCAGATGGCGGTGACTACAGCTGCACAGCCCGCAACGCCGCGGGCAGCACCAGCGTGGCCTTCCGCGTGCGAATCCACAGTGAGTGCAGCCTGCCCCGCCCCGCACCCCCCGACTCAGAGCCACGCTCCCAGCCCTGCGCCCTCTGTGTCCCTCCACAGTGGCGCCCACCATCCGCCCGGGCCCACCTGCGGTGAACGCCTCGGTGAACCAGATGGCCCTGCTGCCCTGCCAGGCCGACGGTGTGCCCCCGCCACTCCTGAACTGGAGGAAGGACGGGGCCCCCCTGGACCCTGGGAGCCCCAGGTGGGAGCAGAAGGGGAGCACAGGGGAGGGTCTCAGGTACCTGTGTGTGGGTTGTAAACAGAAACCAACTCGGGCAGGTGGAGTAGAGATTTTATCAACAGGACATGGGGGGGTGACTCTCAGAACCCAAGGACAAGCAAGCCCCTCGTGAGGAGCCCTGGTGGCTGGCTCTTGCTAACCTCTGCTTCTCTGTGTGTGTGGGCTTCATGCTTCTCTCTCTCTCTCTGGCACCTTCTTCCTCTGTGAACATGGCAGAAACGCCCCCCCAGACACTCCCATGGCCCCAACATTACAGCTCCTCAACTCACACAACCTGCAGAATCCTAATTCCAAATTCCCAGGGCAGAGAATGCCATTGGCCCAGACTGAGTGACATGTCCATCCCCAGTCCAACTCACTGTGACTGGGGCCAGATTGCACAGTACAGACAGGGCTCTCGGGAAGGGGCAGTTCTCAGATCTAGGGGGGTCATTCTCAGAAAGAGTGGGGATATCACTGCCTGCTGACTCTTGGGGAGAGGCTTGGCCCAGGCAGTAGCACAGGAGGCCCAAAACAGCCCCTCTCTTGACTTTTCTAATGCTGGGTTGGGGTGTGGGGAGCTACTCATGACTGTGACCTCCTGACCTTGGCCTAATGGATGCAGGACTCTGACCCCTGAGTTAGTATCCTCTTGCTGGGAACACAGGGGGCAGAGGGACGGTCTTTCTGGACACAGCCCTTCAAGGATCCCTGGCCTGCTGGTCTTCTTGGCAACCCCTCCGTCCGTTCCAGGTTGGAGGTCCTGCCAGAGGGTTCCCTGAGGATCCAGCCAGTCCTTGCCCAGGATGCCGGGCACTACGTCTGCCTGGCGTCCAATTCTGCTGGCTCCGATCGGCAAGGACGTGACCTCCAGGTCTTTGGTAGGTGGACTAGGGAACGGTGAGTTCCCTGCCTTCAGCATCCAGTCCCTGTTGGGGGTCTGGTCCTGCTTAGTTTCTGGGTCACCCCAGCTGTCAGAAGCCGAGAGCAATGGTTTCCAAATGTTTATGGCCATGAAGCCCATTAGTAAAAAGCAGGCATGTGAAGGATGCATGTTTATTTTTATGCCTATATCACCTTCACATACTACTACATTGTTTATTAAGTGAGAGGTGAAGCATGCACAAAAGGGAAAGCATTTGAAAGGATGAGATTTGAAATCACTGCAATCAGAGGCCCTGGCCTTGGGCAGGGGCTGATGGGGAGTTCCAGCAAAGGTGGGTAGGGAGACACCAGGCTCAGGAACATCCAGCTGTGGGAGCCTCTTGGAAGTTCTCCCTGGGGAGTTTCTTCTGCCCTCTTTGCTCCCTTGGAGATGGGCTGAAGGTGGGAGCCAGGCCCCTGCCCCTGGCTCTGCCTCTGGGCGCAGCCTCAGAGATCCCAGGCCCCAGCCCCTCCTGTCTCCTGATGACTGCCCTCTCTCCAGAGCCTCCAGCCATTGCCCCCAGCCCCTCCAACCTGACCCTGACCGCCCACACACCAGCATCACTGCCCTGTGAGGCCAGCGGCTCCCCCAAGCCCCTGGTGGTCTGGTGGAAGGACGGACAGAAGCTGGACTTCCACCTGCAGCAGGGCCCCTACCGGTAACGAGCTGGTCCTCCCGGGAGCACCCTGAGATGCCCGGGGTGGGGAGCTGGGTCAGAAACAAGGCATCAAAGATAGGACCAGAACTGGTGTCTCCACCTTGGGGGCCCAGGAGGGTCTTTACACTCAGACAGACAGGACTGCCTGGCCTTTGGGATATACAGCCAAACAGAAAAATGGATGACCTGTGTATCCACTACAGTCACTATTTGTTTAAAAACAATATGTGCTGGCTGAGCCTGGACACGTGACTATGCCTGGAGCCTCAGTCTCCCCATTTCTCAAATGCAGCTGATCATTAAATGGTCATTAGAGCATTAAAAGAGTTGATTCACCAGCTAATTCACCAAATAGTTGTGTTAGGTGCCGGGTCATCACGGTGCTGTGTGTCTAAAGCCAGAGCTCCATAAACCTGAGTAATTTCCTGATTGGGGAGTCGAATGCAATTATCATAGCAGTTATGTCTCAATGGTTATTGTAGCAAACATACCGGATTACAGAGAAACACAAGGATGAAAATAAAAATCGTCTGCAAGTCCAACAGCTAGAACTCTGGGGGTAGAAACTTTTAGAAAAAACATCTCGAGGCAGGGCTGGGGGCTGGATACAGTAAGAAGAAATGGTCATGAGATCCCCACATCCAGCCTGCCCAGGAAGGAAGGCCAGGGCGAGCTTTTCTCAGGTCAGCCCAGCCAGTCACTTAGCCTTCTGTCTGTCCATCCAGGCTCCTGCCCTCCAACGCCCTGCTGCTCACAGCCCCCAGCCTGCAGGACTCAGCCCTGTTTGAGTGCGTGGTGAGCAATGAGGTGGGAGAGGCTCGCAGGCTCTACCAGGTGACTGTTCACGGTGAGTCGGGGTAGGAGACAGATGAGGAAGCCCGGGGCAGGGGGCTTCCCTCCGTTGGGTGCTCTCCCTGCCTGCGGGGACTTGTGCTGGTTTCCTCCTGGGCTTCAGAGGACACCTCCTCCGGGAAGCCCTCTCGGATCCTTCCTACCTGCTCTGACATAACCTGGGCTCCATCACAGTTCTTGGCATGTGAGAGCTCACACGAGAGGCCCCTCCCCAATCCAGAATGTTCTAAACCCACAGCTGACTTGTCATCACCTGGGTTGAAATCCCTCCCTCCGTGGCTGCCCACTGTGCTCAGGACAGAATGCAAAATTTCCCACAAGTTCTGTGTCAACCCATGGCCTGCCTCCCTCTGGGATCCAGTTATGCTGTTCAGCTTTCTGTCCCTCACCTCAGGGCCTTTGCACGTGCTGTTCCTTCTACTGGGAACACTCTTCCCCTCACCCAGCCAACACCTGCTTTTCATTCGGATCTCAGGTTAAATGCCACTTCCCCCGGAGGCCTTCTCTGGCCTCCCCCGCTTCGAGTTGGATAGCTCTTGCAAAGCCCCCTTCTCTTGTGAAATACTCTGAATTATCCCTGTGCCCCCAAATTTGCTGAGTAAGCAAATGTGACGTCTGCCTCTTGCCCCTGCCTCCCTCCCTGGCCCCTCGTCACTAATGTCATCTGTGTCCTGGCCTTCATTTATAGTTCTCGTCCCCCTGGCCCTATGACTGTGTGTTCCCCAGTGTGCCTCAGCAGGGCCTCAAGCCCGATCTTGGGTTTCAGTGCCTCCCACCATTGCTGATGACCAGACGGACTTCACTGTGACCAAGATGGCACCCGTGGTCCTCACGTGCCACAGCATGGGCATGCCAGTGCCAGCTGTGTCCTGGAGCAAGGCAGGCACACGGCTGGGGGTGCGGGGGAGCGGCTACCGTGTTTCGCCCTCGGGTAAGCAAGGGTGGGCCACAGACAGATGCGGCTGAGGGAGACTAGGAGAACGGGCAGAGAGGGGAAGGGAGCCATGTCATGCAGCAGTATGGAAAGTTCTGGCTGGGCTCTGCCACTTCCTCGCTGTGTGACCGGGAGAAGCCCCTCGCCCTTTCCTCCTCGGTGTGCTACTGTGTTGAGACCTGTCAGTGGTTCCCTGATCCCCGTGGGCAAATCAGTGTTT